AGGTAAAATAATTAATAATAATAATACTAAAATGGTTCACAAGGCACGCACGCAAACAGCTCGAGGGTAAGGTAATTTGATAGCGTAACATGAGCTGCACGTTCCCCGAGTAAATTACAACTTATAATGGAACGGATAATAGTTAGACACAGTTCAAAGAGCAATAAAACAATAAAATTTAATTATAAATAGATGTATACTGTTTGGATAAATGAATGTAGTTTCAAGTTATGATTTGAAGTCATTATAGAAAGAAAAAAATGGTAATTTAGGTTTATTTCAATCTTTTTTGGTGGTTACAAGGTTGGTTGAATTGACCGATCCCATGTTGAGATAGGGTAGAGAAAATAAAAGATAAACCATAAAGTTTTACTGAAAAAAAAAAACGTTTGAAATGCATTTAGGAGGTTTTTAGGGATTTACACAAAGGAAATTTGAGATTTTTGAGATAAGGAAAAGTATTTTTAATTTGAACATGAAAATTACTTTGCACACGGACTATTCAAAACAAATACTCAATATAATCATGGTCAAATCCTTGATTTATTAAAAATACTTCACTAAAAAATGTAATTTTTTGTACTTGAAAGACTTATAATATGAACTGAAAACTGCCAAGTTTTGTGAAGATATACACACTATATTGAAAGTTAGATGTATTAAATCTATAAATACTATAATCAAGTACAAAGAGGTCACATGGTCGGTCAAATTGACCGAGCCTGTGTTGAGCGAGTTAATATGTTAAATTATTTACAACTAAATATTGGTGGACTTGATGAAACAACCATTATCTCTAGTGTTTGTCATATACATGTTAGAAGCAATATTTTACATAATTTGTTATTTTTATAATAAGTCCTATATTTACATCTTCTTGGATTGTTCGTTACCTTAGTAACAGATACAACAAACCAAATTTTGAAAAAAAAAGAAAGTAGCAATGCAGAATCAACCACTATAAATTTAAAGTTCATAAAATAACTTGAAAATTAAATTTATACCTGTTATTTCCAAGGACTCTTTTTCCTCAGCTGATGAATTTTGCCGTTTCCGACTTTCTTTTGAGACTGAACTGATAGATTTTTTCTTATCTTTAGTGCACCACTTCCATTCAGGATGGGCTTTGAAATGAGCTTCTTTAACCTATCAGTAACAGAAAAGATAGTACATGTACTGATTTAATGAAAGTGCAAATACAAATTATTATTTCATTCTTTCACTTTTCTAATTATCTAATTGTATAGCTTTTCACTTTAAATTAAACAATAGGACATAAAGATGCACTACCATATTGTTGAATCAATATAACAGAGTAAATTACCTAAATAAGTAATTAACAGTTAAAACATTTTTTTACCTGGCTATGAAATTAAAAATTAATGGTACATAACCTATGTGTAATATATTAAGGATGTGTCCACTTGGGTGGTACGTGGAGCTGAATTCCAACTGTCTCCTCCAGAAAACTCCCCTCTCATCTAAGATATAGTCTTTTAAGATTTTTAAGTTCTTTAATATGAAAGTGTTAACTTTTTATGCTCCCAAATAACTCTTTGCCTCTTATCCCCCACAAAAAACACCCTAAAAATGCAACTGAAGGGTACCAATGAAAATAATGACCTATACATACAATAATGTTATTTGAAACATTTAATAAGTAATTAAAGCAATATCAAGTGACTGCATAATTATATTACCTACTAAAATAATTCTATGTGTGTTAAACCTATCAAGTAGCAAAAAAGTTGTAAACGCATTGCATTTATTTTAGCTTTGCTTTTTCATCTGTTTGGTAAAGGGAAAAGGTACCATCAAATTTTGAATACAGCAATGTGCTGTAGAACTGGGGAATCAATCTGACCAATATTATGAAAATACTATTTTTTAAAGTATAATTAATACTTTGTAATAATTTAATTTGTTTGTTGTTCAGTAATACAAAATGTCTTATTTCATTCCAAGTAACAGTAAGCTTATGTCCAATCAGATAACTTTACATAAGTATGACAGTTCAGTTTTTCATACAATTACTATAATGGACAGACAATATAATATGCAACATGTAAAAACAAGCATACTTCACTACTCCTGGCACAGAATGAAACTGAGTAAGAAGTTATGAGAATAAATTATTCAAAGCATATTCTGATGCATCCTTTTTTTTATTGTTATTAAACACAACATGTGACCTTAATGTATCTGTCCTAAGACTGTCCTTTCATTGGTTGAAGTTTCTGCTTGAAAGGTAACATTTATATATCAAATGTGCTGACAAAATTTTAAATACTACACATTTTGTACTTTAAGTTGTAAATGTCACAATATAAGAAAGAAAAACAAAGTAATTTAAACTACAAAGCCCTATAAATTAGGATTTTATTTTTTGAAAATGTACAAATTTATAATTTTAATATATTTTCTGTCTAACAGCTGACTGTTATTTGCACAGAAATAAACAAATTGGCATTTACAAATGTATCACTAATCCTAATCCTGACAAAGGAAACTAATCAGGAAAATCACCTAAAAAGGCAAAAAAGAGAATATAAAGGTTGATAAAAAAAAGATAGTTAATCTCCAGTCGAGGAAAAACATCTAATCATGACAACATTATTTGAAATGTTTGCTGTACTTTTATGTTCGGCATTTTTTTTTTGTCTTTTAACTCTCTCCACTCAATATTCTAAATTTTCAGACAATACAAATCCTACTACCCAAGTGCTTTCGGCCAATGAGGATTATATTGAAGAAGTCAGGTTTACACCATAGCTTTACCAAATGTCAAACAATATGAAAATTGTTAAAAGAGAAATATGAGTTAAATAAACACTTATTGTAAATTTTTTCAAAAATTCTAGGTTAAAAAACTAACCATTATTAAATAATTTAGCTACATGTAACAGATAAATATACATTGTAATATATAATTAGTAAGCCTATTAAATATTAACGATTTTAAATCAATTGAGTTGGTACATTTTTTTTTATCAACCACAAAAGTAATATAAATTCAAATGGCACATTTTAAAACACTTACTTCAAAAGCCAAGTTTTGATACTGTTGTTTTTCTTCTTGCCCTAATGAGTACCACCACTCCCCCAGTATTTTACTGACTGTCCTATTGTCTTGATTAGGATGAAGCTGATGTACTCTTGTTCGATGTCGTTTGCTAAAGATCATGAATGCATTCATTGGCCGACGAATGTGGTCTTTCTCTTTAGTCTAAAAAAACAAAACAAAAAACTTCAACCTTTTTGTGTTGATTTGTTTAATTTATAAAAAAGAGACAACTGAAATGAGGGTTTTACTATACAATAATTCATTAATACTTAACATTGAATCTTGAGAATACTGTCACATTAAATTCTTTATAAGAGAAAGTGCAATCAATGTTCATAACATATAAACTAATTATCAACACAATATAAGAATAATATTAAATCACCACAGCTACATGTACACAAATCTAGTTAGCTAATTTTTATGACATAAAAATGCAAGAGAATGATCAAAAGTATAAAGCAGAAGTATCAAGGTAAATCTGTAAACCCTGATAAAATACTATAAATGCAATTTGAAATATAAATTAAAGCTTTTTAAGACTATATTGGAATTACACAATATGTTAGTTATTCTTCTATTATAAATAAAATATCCACAAGAAATACAAATTACTCAATAAAGTAGTATAGTTAGCAAGTTTTTACTTCCATTACACATACCTGTTTCAAATAAAATTGCACCAGTAAACAGAAAATTTGATTAATAAGGAATTGTTCATTGTTTGTTGATTTTGTAGTTAATGACCCATATATCTATACCATTCAAATTAAGTTTCTCTTCAACTCAAAATTCTTAAATATTACCTACAATCAGGGCTAAATCAGGATGATTAGTGGTATTTGCTAATCGATTAATTGACAGCCCCATTAATTTATTTCATTTGATTAATAAATTGTTGGAATAACACAAACATTAATTTCAATTAATCAATTAGTTCAATCATAATTTCAATTAATAAATTAGTTTATGAGACACTAATCGAGATAATTGTTGCTTATAGGTTATTGTTTAAATTTCCCAACTCTAATTCAGGCCCCCAATTTTTATGCAGCAAAAAATAAAATAAAATACACTTATCCAGCCAAAAGTTTTTAATTATGCATTACAAAATTGTTTATTCAGAAGTGATTATGTAGCAAAAATAAAAGTTATAGATTGAATATAATTTTTTTTAATATTTAAAATCACCCAAATCTCCATAAAGTCAAAACAGTTGAAAACAATAATATTTAAGATGTTAGACATGATTAATGCAATCCCACCATCCACACCAAATTGACAGTTATTTTTTATGAAATAACAACAAAAGCATACACACTTTTAGACTTCAGAAGTATTTTGAATTGCCATTAATTAAACTCTCTGACAGGCAGGCACTACTCCCCAAACAACAAGAAACAAATACATCAAGCGATATAAGTCTGGTAACACTGACCTAGGCCTAACTTCAATAAGTCTAAAAATTTCAAAACTTGATAAGGGTTAAGTTTGAAGGAATAACCAATATCAACTAAGAGACAAATAATCTGCAAAAATTAAGCAAACCAGTATTTTTAGGAAAATGTAAGGATATCTGAATGAATGATAGGCAACAGCAAAATATTCTGATGACTCAAATCTTTATTTATTGAATACTATTAATTTCATCATGTTCAAACACACACATAAATTAAACAAGAAAAAATATTTAGATATAAATTGATTGTGACAAATACTATTGCTAGCAAAATACCAATACCTAGTCTGTCAAAAGTAATAACAGTAAAGCCATTTTGAAAGGTGAGGTCCTAGGTTACCAATAAATTTTTGTGGGTTTTTGTTTCTTTTTTTTTATGATTTATAGCTGGAAGTGATGACTACTTCAACTGGCAAAGTAAAGTATGTTAACACATACCAATCAAGTTGAAACTGACTGCATATAGAAAATAGAACTGATAGAAAATTTCAAATTCTAAAACAAGGGGAAGTATTTTTAATCTGTTTTCCAAGCCAGCATTTTGAAACAAATTTTGGGAAGTAAATAACCTAAAAGTGATGGAAATACTAAATCAAATTATGTATGTATCTAAAGTTAAAACTTGACACTATTTTAGCACATTTGTACAAAGTTTCATGCAATATGGTTAAATACTTTCACTGGGAGAAGGATAAAAAAAAATCAGGGGTTATTAGTAGATTTTTATCTGAAAACCAAATTCCTAGAATCATGTTAAAAAGAACATGTAAAAGCATCATATTTTTTATTCATGACAGCAAAAAATGTAAAAATAACACTTTAATACAGTTGAGGTGTTATATATGTATTTATTTTTTGTTAAGAAAGTGATAGTAAGTTCAAGTAATAAGGCTATACTAAAGTAATAGAAAATTTTAATTTTCACATTTAAGTGTTCTGATCAAAATTAAATAGAGAAGATTAAAGTTCAAAATTCAGTTAGAATTAATAAGAATATCAAAATTTAATGTTCTATTCTCACTAAGTCTCACTACACATCACACTTTATAAGAAGATTAGTTGATACTGACAAAAGGATTAATACAATAACTGCAATTAAGTCCAAGTTTAAAAGATATGAATGTAATAACTGCCAAATAAAAATTTATTTATTTATTTATTTTTTTATTATTATTTTAAGATTAAGATTTTTCATCTGATTGTGATCAAGAAAGTTTAGTCTGGACTATATTAGGAAAAAGAAAATGATGAAACTTTATAAAATGTTTATAAGACACATTATTCACATACAATGTACGTATAAATTTACACACACATACACATTCACTCCACTGGTCTTGGAAAATATGGAAAAATTTAGGCCCCTATTAAATGGAAACTTAACCCAGAACATTAACAGAAATGTTTATATTTTAATGTTATTTAGTCTTTAATCATGCTAAAGAACAAGAAATAACAAAAGCAGTTGCAATGTGGTATTCAGGTACAATGATGTCAGACAAAACTGTAATACAGAAAGTTCTGGAAAATGTACACAAAAGATAATTTAGAAAATGGACAGTAAAAGAAAAAATAAGCATGGGTGTACAGATAAAACAAAGATATCTTTGTCCATACAACAAATACTGCTGACGTATTTAGATATTGTTATAAGCTATATTTCCATTGTTTTAATTTATATGTTTGCTAGAGGGTGTTGGTGATCATGATGATGATATAATAAACAAAAAAATTTGACTAATATTAAAATTGTTACATTAGTTATAAATATGAGTAATGAAGGAGCAGTTAGTTCAGTGAAGTATTCAGTAGGTGAATGATCGAGTAGATAATGATAGAAGAAATATTAATTGAGTAAAGTTATTCAGGCCACTGAAATTAATGTTTCTTTTAGCTAATCAGTTCAGTAGTTTAGCATCAGAAAAGTTTTTTGTGTTAGTAGTGAGAATTATTACATCTATTCTGCTATTCCATTACATAGTAACTTACTTTTGTTTATCGAACAAAGCTAAGTAAGTTAGATGCACAAATAGCATTTCAACAGAAATTTTGAGACTAATGGTACCTATACTTAGGATTAGCATAAAAATAGTGAACATAGCCTGTAGTCAAGATTATTGAATAAATAAATGAATTCATCATCATTATATAGTATGAACTTGGCATAATTTTTACAAAATACTCCAAAAGAATCTGCCCAAAGATAAAACATGTTACAACAATATACTGGCCAGCTTATATATCTAGTAATGCCTGTAACTGACCATTGGAACAGATATCTAATCTATTCTATAATCAATAGTTTGGAGTTATTGTGAATATTCATGTCAAAGTGAATGTAATAATAAAGCTAAACTTTTACAAACCTTTTTAGGAGTTTTGGGTTCTTCTGTAGTTAGAGAACTGAGTGACTGTGTTCTCCGCTTGGTAGCAGTGACAGGAACTTGTAGACTTGAAGAGTCAGATTCTGAAGTAGACACAAATACATCTTCCTCTTCATCCTCTTCTTGTTTTGATTCAACAGAAGCTGCAAACCATTAACTTAACCAATGAGTATCAGTAAGAGCCAGAATTTACAGATGATAATCTTCCATCAAAATAATGTAACCCAGAAACAAGCAGATCTTCATTCTTTCTAAATCCTAAATATTCATTCTATAAAAGGTAATTAGTGTTTAACTAAAATCAAATAAAACTATGTATTTATGATTAGTGAATTCTCAGAACAATGTTTACAGAAAGGTATAAATCTACCAAGAAACAAACTTCTAACAGTGACACATAAGAGTGGAAAACAATAGTCATAAAATAATGTTTAAGCTCATATTTATTCCATAAGTTAACATTTAAAAGGAAATACTTTATATTGACCACAAATGCTGAGAAATATATTTGTTAGAAAATTTTTGCCTTCAAATGAGCTTTTCTGGAAAAGCTTAAAACTAAGAAAAATAATAGTGCTCATTTAAAAAATGTCCCTTAGTAACAACATTATAGATAAGATTCAACTCCATAATATGTTATGAAAGGCAGGTAAAAAGTAAACTAGACACAAGTTCTTACATTAATAGAAAAGAACGTTGGTGCAATGCAATAGCTTCTAACCTATCAAAATGAAGAAGTCTTTCAGGAATTGACTCTGCATTGAAATTACAAGCAAGTTATAAACCAAATGTTTTACTTATAAATATTGCTACTTGTACTCCAGATAAATTTATCATATACTCCTGTAGTAGTTTGAGTCTATAATAAATACCTTATTAGCAGTGCTGCATTAGGGCACTGGTGGGCCCTAAGTGAAATATAAATTAGAGCCCCCTCCCCCTGCTTTTAAGAAAATACAATACAATTTGATAAAATGAATATATATATACCATTAACAACTAGTTTATTATTATTATTTTATCATACACACTTCAAATTTTATCATTTATTATTATATTTGCAACATGTGATGGGCCCCTGGGCAACTACCCCTTGTGCCTACTGAATAAAACAGCTCTGCTTCTTAGCAGCAACTGCTAGTGAGTTAACCCCTTTAGCTCAGTTTGTAGGAGCACTCACTTGATGTATGAATGGTGTCAGATTCAATTCTGAACTCAGAAAAAAAAAGATGAATGCCAAACAAAAATTGGTATCTAGCTAATAGTTATTTCACAACACTGATATTGGGCCCAATGATGTACTTTGCTTGTGAGGTGGAAGATATGTGTTAGTTTGAGTTGTTAAAGAGTTGTTTGAGTTGTTAACAGCAATAGCTAATGAGTTAATTCTTTAGTGTCAAAGTTACCAAGAGCTGAAGTATAATATTCTAACATCAGAATGAATTTTCAAAAATTAATAAATAGTACTTTGTTTTTGCGTTTAAACAAAGAATTTTAATTTCTATATTGAAATGTTATATATTTCCCACAATGTTAAAACAGAAATCACATATATATAAATATACTGAACATCTGAAAATCCAAGTTTACAAATTATAACAGGTGTTTGACTCAAAAATTATCATCATCATCAACAATGAATGTTTATTATGTTCATATATAATGCAGCTATTACATACTTGTACAAAACTACTCAAACTAATGTTTACCTGATTTATTGTCAGTTGGGTCTGAATGAGTTATTGCAGGGAAAGCTGGTGCTGATGAGACTGCTGGTGGGGCACTCTTGGGAGGTGATGGTGGAGCAGTGAGGTAGGGAACCAGAGAGTGCCATGGAAAGATTGGAATTGGCTGAGCATCACTGTCATCTACAACATAAATAATACAAAACAACCATAATGAGCAGATATTTTACAAATTGTTCCTCTGTAGCTTCAAAGTTTAGGCATTAGTTTAAAACTGACTGCCATTGCCAGACTGTTGAGTTTGATAGGTAGCAATTGGCCTATTGTGGAAATAGATTAAATTAAATGATTAAAGTAATCATAGTAGTTTGAGTAAGTAGCTGTAAGTTTAATATTTTTACACAAAATACCAGCTTGTTTGAACATTCAGTGAAATTAGTTTTGGCATTGAATTAAATTAAGAGTTAGGATATTTTTATGCTTTTTTTATGTCACTATATAAATGAATCAGTATATATATACTAGATTGATGTTAATCACATTCGAGAGTTTAGGTGGTTTATTTTTGTTGTTTTGCTGGCATCATATCCTTTGGAGCTTTCTTATGGACTGAATTCAAGATAACAAAAGCATTCTATTCTAAAAATAAATTGCAGTTCATACAAAACAAAGGTTTCAGGTTGAGCTCCTAAGCTTAATTCCATTTCTGATTTTTAGCCTTTTTTTTCCTTTCAATTTCATTAAGGATTGAACCACATTCTTACAACAATTTTACTTTAAATTAATCCATTAAGGCAAAAAAAAGGTATTCAAAACATGGATGATAGTAATACAAATAGATCAAGCAACAAACATTAAACACATTGGTTAGAAGATTTACTCATAATTATATTCATGTGCATACAATGATTTCTTTTATAAAACATTTACTATTTAGTATTCATGAATGTACTAGGTTTGAACTGCATTAAAAATGTCTTATATATCTTATATATACATACAGAAATGTAGTCTTTAACTTCCAAAATAGAAACATATGAAAACATTAAATGTGCTTCTATATAAAAAAAATCCTATTGTATTAAACATATTACAATATGAAGAATGTAGTTTATACATTTACTTATAATATTGGTTTTAAGGGTAGTTTTCAAAACGGAAAAAAAAACATTAATAACTTTCTTTTTAGCTTTACAGACATCCCTGAATAGTGACCACGGCCGCTATAGAAAACCTAAAATTTACAAAGAATTGTATGCGAAAATCAGTTTAGCCAATGCAGGCAGAGGATTGTGTGTTTAAATGTGCACCAAAAATACGTTACTAGTAAAACGACAGTCATTGTAATCAACTGTAACTTGCTTTAAGTCACGTGAACACAATTTCCTAGGTGACCTTTTACAAAGTTTGGAGCTGAGTCTGTTGCTAGGCGACATACAGCAAGTTACGGTGTCATAAGCACGCGCCAGTCGTTTCCTGATAGCTATAACACAGCAGGTACTCCAAAAGCGGTCTGAACAGTACTAGAAGCTCAAATTTCTTTCACGATAACTAAGTGTAATGCGCAGGCAACCATGTGCACGAACTGATTTGGGTTGATCACCTAAAAAATTAAAAATAAAAGACTTGAATTTTTTAAATAAAATGTTCATGTTATTTTTTTTTAAACGACTGGAAATTTTAATCCTAAAAGTTTTGTGTCAGAACTACACGAGTTTTCTACTTCTTTTTTTTTTAAGTTTTTAACACACGTGTTTTTACCGTTTCAGTATCCTTACTAAGCTATTTGTGCTGTATCCACTGCAGGTTCGGACCTGTCATTTTAGCGTCAACAACCCTCAGTCTTACCACTGAGCCATCGGGAACGCCATGTTAAAAAGATCAATGAAAAATTAACGATTAATACTGACTAAAGCACAAAATTACTTTAATGGGTAAAAATATATTTACCTGAAAACAATAAGATCTTAAATGATTCCTGAATATAATCAACAGATGAAGACTGAAAAAAGTTATTTTCTACACCACCAAATGATATTCGATTTTTTAATCATACTACATTTCAAAACAAAAAATTTAGTTTCTTTTTCGTTGAGGTTATTCAGTATATGATCCTGAGTAGTCCATTTCCAATTGAATAAAAAAATTCCTACAAATTGAATTTTCAATCAAGTCTTTAGTTACTTAAATGTTTCTTTTTATTAATTAATTAATTAACTAATGTGATTATGAAATAAAAATATAAAAGTTAAGTCCACAACAATGAAAGTTAGCTATGCACGACAATGTATGGAATCACGTGTACTATCCGTCAAAGCCAAATTTGAAATTAATTAAAGGTTACCATCAGTCTTCCCTACACCGTTAACGCCCGTTATGACAAGGAACTCCTATATACACGCCTTAACGACACGCCCACGTACTTTCGTATAACCCGTGGGCTCACTGCCGAATTGTGCTATGCAAATTCAGTAGTCTGACTCGTGTACACGCCATAATCTGTATTTGAAGCCTGCTTTCTAGTCAAAGTATGCATTAAATGTCTTTAAAGGGCATAGTATTACGATAATATTTAAACTTACCTATATTTCTAAAGATAAATCACTTCACGTACATGAAAGTTTTAAAGGTTCAGGTTCAAACCTTACGTTTGTGTGATATAAACAAGTTGTGTTTATCTTCATTTATAGCACAACAGAATAAATGTTTGATGTTCATATTCAAGCTATGGCGTCAGCTTTAACTTTATACTATTACATCAAACATTTCTGAGTTATTCGCTACTTGTAATATAATACTAACACTTGTGACGTCATTTTTTATTTAACTCTCCAACAATGTAATGTCGAAATAAAAAAACAGTCAATTTGACCTTGTGTCATCCAAAATTAACTTGAGACCACACTGTTTCATTTACATTACCTGGGAGAAACAGGTGTTAATTTACACTCACGATATTTATTTTAAAATTTGATATATTTCAATCAAAAGCGAATTATTTTTGGCATATGTATGTTTCATTACATTGTGCTGTGAGTACGGACTTGTATTATTACTATTATTAAAACCTCAGTTCGGATACTAAGTTGCATTACAAGTTAATTAAGAATAAAACTGTTTCTTTAACAAGTATTTTCTATCCAGTCACTGCTAGTAAGCGTATGCCAACTTTACAAAACCGGCAACCATTAACGATGAGTCTCTTGGTAGCTCAGAGTTTATAAAGCTAGAATTATGGGTTCGATTCCTGTGGTTGACACTGCAACAAACCCCTTGCGCAGCTTGGCGCTAAAACAAAAACTTATAAATGTAACTACTATTATTTTTTATCTTTTTTTTTCACATTAACGTGTAAGAAGACAGAATCATCGTAAAATTCATTATGCATTCTTACATGTAATCAATATATTTTTTTTATTTAGTTATTAGTAGACCGTTCGTTTACTTTGGTAAAACTTCCAGTTCTTTTTCTCAGAAGATGTGAAAAAGTTTCGTACAACCGTGTTAGTGAAAATGACATTAAGACAACAGGTACAAACTGATAAACCCTGACAGACATTTTTAAGTTGAATCACAGGCTTCCACTTAACATTCCTTCTACGTCAACTGTTGAATATTAGAACATGTAGTCACACACACATTCAAATGTGCCATATAAATAATCCTTACTGCAAGACCTCAAGGCGGAATTTAACCGAAAAAATATAACGTAGCATATTCCTTACACTTCTGGTGTTTGTCTAGGATACAAAATAGGTTATTTTTGCTAAATATGGCCCTGGTGTATAGTCTCTTCACATGGGAAGAAAAGAAAGATGTTGTCAATAAATTAAGTTTACGGTTTATTAAAATGAATCTGTTATTGTAGGAACACACGAATATTGTGTCAGTATTTTTGATCTGACAGACATTTTGAAAGCATATATTAGTAGAGTCATGTAATAATTTGAGGATACATTTGAAATCGCAATAACGTTAAAGATGTATAATACATTAGTACAAGCACATACTTGAAACTTGCGAATGTAAAATGAACAGACGTACTTATACGTGTAACAGAGTACCAATTCTTATTAATCCAACTAACGAGGATGTTTTATAGTGAAATCTTACCAGTACTTATACGGTACTTATACGCGACGTCGTTAGCTTCGTATACTTTTCTATTCATTAGCTTAATATCTTTGTAACTCCTCAATTAATCATCATATCCTTGTTCGTTACCTGTTTTACGTGTTGAATTGTGTAAGTTGCTCGTGAACAGAGTAAAAGACTTTGGAGCACTACACGTGTTAGACGTAAATGCACAAAAATTTCAGATTTAAAAAGAAAATGTCACTATTAAGAGTGAATGTGTATATACAAGATTATATTTATGGAAAAGTCAGTTAAGACCGAGATCAAACTAAACTAACTGGCGTTTTCCCCCGTTATGGGTAAGCGTAGTTTTTGTATTTATTTATGTACAATTCAAGCATACAACTGACACAACTTTGGCAGATAAGAAGTTCAAGGTCAAAATTGTTAATTTTTTTCTTTTAAGCTCAATCGATTTACTATCTGGAAAATAAAAGATAAGAAGTTCAAGGTCAAAATTGTTAATTTTTTTCTTTTAAGCTCAATCGATTTACTATCTGGAAAATAAAAGATAAGAAGTTCAAGGTCAAAATTGTTAATTTTTTTCTTTTAAGCTCAATCGATTTACTATCTGGAAACCATGTCGTTTTATTGAAAATAGAATAATATGGACATTTGTCCCATGTTGCTTGAAACCCCCACGCAAGTTTTTACATTTAAGGACTCGTAATCAAATTTTAACTTTACACAGGAAGAAAAGTATCTTCTAACTGTCCATTTCACAGACATCAATACTATATAGCAGTTTAAACTAATAACAATCACACTAGCTCCGGCTGAACTTAGCTATGTAACCAATGGCGTAACTTTGGTTTTTAAAGTGTGTGTGTTTGGGATGGAGGACAGTTTCTGTGGCTACAATATGAAATAGGTTTTTTTTTTTTTTTTAAATATCCTATCCTTGAAAAGGTGCGGGGGGGGGGGGAACATGTTCCGTGATAAATTCGCCTATGCATTTAACTATTGCTAGTACTACAGACTCAGTCCTTACTAGACCGTTTTCCGATTGATTTTATCTCATGTTTTCGCCTGTCTGTTACCGTCTC